GGTGAGCAGTGTCCTCATGGGGGGCGGGGATGAGGATCAGCAGTGACCCCACAGGCCTGTGAGACCGCCTGGCAGTAGCAGTTGGCTTTGTGGGGTATGAAGGCAAAAGCCTATCAATTTAGAGTTTTATTCTTTTTCCGTAGACTTTACAGTTATACTTAGATTTTTAAGGAGGCAAACAACTTTTTAAAAAATTTTCTTTTTGCCATTGACAGTGTATACAGCAGAATAAACACCAGTCCCAGAGTTTCTTCATGTACCCTTGGGTGACACTGCTGCATTCTTCAAGTCTGCAGCGGGGCCCCACCCTCCGTTCGGAGCTGCTCCCCCCTTGTTAACATGCTCCTTGTCCCCTAAGCCTTCTGTCTCAGAGTTGGGTGTTTTTTTTTTAAATTTTGTCTTAGAGTTTGAGTTGTTCTTGTCAATTAAACTTCATCTAGGTGGTCCTTACAGGGGATGGTGCTCGAGGCAGGTACACTGTACTAAACAAGCTAAAATGGAGTTCTGTCCTATTTACTTGAAGTAACAAAGTGGACATTCTAAGTAGAAATATGGAGACGTGGTAGTTAATATTACTGAAAGGCCAAGTTTACCGTGAGATCTGGGACCCTCGGTTCAGTGCTCTCCCTCCTTCAGGAGCTCTACCAGCCTGGGCTTGTGCCCTCAGCTACCGCCTCTCTGCTACGGGGGCAGGCCGAGCCCCAGTGTGAGGCAGGGGTTGGCCCCCTGGACAGCATACGCCTGCTGCGAGATGAGAGGGGCCAGAGGCTGGTCACAGAAGCCCTGCCAGAGAGACAGCGTGCTGGGAGCCAGGCTGTGTGTCCAGTGGGGAGATGGTGGGAGCAGAGCTGGACTGTGTGCCCTGCGTGGAGGTGGAGGGGCACCTGCTGCTCCCACAGTCCTGTTTCTATTTCCACAGCCCTCTGATCCAGTTCGGACTGCTCCATTCCAAGTTCCATCTGTGCAGTGTTCCCACCAGGGCGCTCCTCTTGTCGACCTACATCAAGTTTGTGAACCTTTTCCCTGAGGTGAAGGTCACCATCCAGGACGTGCTGCGCAGTGACAGCCAGCTCAAGAATGCAGACGTCGAACTGCAGCAGCGGGCCGTGGAGTACCTGAGACTCAGCACTATTGCCAGCACTGACATCCTGGTAGGCTGGGGGCTGGGACCCTCCTGTCTTGGCCCTGCCCTGAGGCACCATCCCTTTTCTGAGTCTTTGCTGCTTTCTACTCAGGCCACTGTCCTGGAAGAGATGCCTCCGTTCCCAGAGCGAGAGTCCTCCATCTTGGCAAAGCTCAAGAAGAAGAAGGGCCCAAACACAGTGACGGACCTGGAGGAGACAAAGCGGGAACGCAGTGCCGACATCAACGGGGGAGCCGAGCCCGTCCCTGCCAGCACCAGCGCTGCAGTAGGTCCTGAGACCCTGAGTCACCAGGCACAGCCTGTGTACGGAGATGGGTCCTTGATGGGAAGCCAGGGCCGGGGCCTCACCTGCTCAGCATGGAGCCGCCTCCTTGGCTCCGTCTGCCTGAACTCTCCCGGCACGCCTTTCCCCAGAGCCGCCCTGGGCTGTGTGTGTAGACTGCTTGTCTGATGGCCAGGGAACTCAACAGTGAGTCGCAACATATGCCATGTTGAGGTGGCGTGTACAGGGTCAGATGGTGAAAGTCTACCCCGTGGTACTTGTTAGATGGCATGTTGCTGCTTCTCCTCTGCAGAAGCATGAGCTCCATGAGACAGGGTCCTGCTGCCCTGCAGCCCTGGCGTGTCCGCGAGGACGCTCCATGACTCTGCTCAGCATCTACTCAGTTTTTCAACCTTACACATGCAAGGAGTCCTGGGGAGAATTTTCCCTCCAGGGTGCTTGTCCAGAGAGGAGAAAGTGAGGCTGTCCGCTGAGTGGGAAGATGGGCGTGAGGCCTGGCCAGGCTCTTTCTTCATGGGTCTTAGTAGCCAGCTTCTCATCAGACACCCCTTGCTCCCTTTCCCTTGATGTGGTGCCTGGCCACCATCCTCCCCTGGGCCCATGGCTTTGTCCCCAGGGCTCACAGTTCTCGTGTGGTGCTGGCGCTTCTAGAAGCCCCTGGAGATCTCTGGCCAGCACTCCTCGTGCTGTGATCTGGGTGGATGGTGGCTGCACTTCTCTAAGTGGTCTCCCTCTCCCTGCTGTCTCCTCTCTTGAGGGCACTTTTCAGAACCTGATAGAATTTATGACCTTACTCTCTGGGTCCCATGCTGTACCTCTGAGCCAGAGCCAGAGGGTCAGGACACAGAGTGTGGCCTCCGAAAGCTGGGCATCTGGCTGATCCTGGCCTCTCCCATCGCTCAGGACTGTTACATTCTCAGTCTGTCTTGGCCCCATGGCTGAGATCATGCTGGTGGGCTGGAGGAGCCGGGAGGTGGGCTTCTGGATGGTACCGAGGGTTGAGGGACATTTTAGTGCACACACCTGCCCATGGGAAGCAGCTCATTAGGGCCTTGTGTGTTCCTGCCTGGAATCTGCTCAGCACCTCAGAAGGAAGAGAGTGCAAGGGGGAGGTTCCAGGGCCATGTGGTTGTGGATGTTGGTGTGGTGAGCCGTGGGTCAGCTGTGCAGGGTGCTGTGACCCACACTTTTCTGCTCCTGCAGAACTCGGGCCTCTGTCTGCCCTTCCTCCCTTCTGGGAAGGGAGCAGCCCTGGGTTCTGAGCCATGTACCTCGATGTCTCCTTGGAAGGTACAGCTCTCTCTCTCTCTCTCTCTCTCTCTCTCTCAATTTGGATCTCATGGGATTTCCTTTTGAGTTGGTTCTGGGTGAGAAACATGGTCCAGATGCAGTGATGTGAGGGTCACACAGTTCTAGGCAGACTGTGTTCCTGGTTGTGCAGCTTGCTCAGGCGCTTGGCGGGACGCCAACACAGTATCTCTGAGTTCTACTTTGTGCATAGCAGCTTGCTCTGAAAAGGTACACATTCTACATTTTTGAGGAAGTTTCCAGTCTTGGACAGACAAGACAAGCCCTTTCCAGAAGCCCAACTTAGTGCATCCAACTTTGTTATTATCATGTGTCATCAAGTAGGAACAGACCTGCAGTTGACTCTCCAGTGGGTTTTCAGAGGCAGTTAATGTCATGGGAGGAGATTACCCATCTTTCTCCTGTGGAGCAGCTGATGGATTCGAACTACGTGCCTTTGAGATTGCAGTGCAGTTTCTTACCTCTGGGCCCCCAGACCTCCTGCTAACTTTAGGTGGTGTAAAAAGAGCAAGAGCTGTGTGGGGGGACAGCTGAGTCTGATCTCATAACTCCACAGGGGGAAACTGCTCTGACCCACAGCATCCACAACCACAGAACCAGTGCTCGTGAAATGGAACCTGCCTCCTGTGCTCCCGCCCCTGTTCTACTGACTCGAGCACCAGGCCTGCTGCTCCAGTGAGTCCGCAGTGGCCACGCAGAACTGTTCTCAGACTTAACAGAGTTTAGTAAGGGAGTTAACAGCTTACAGCTCAGCTTGGCAACAGGATATCATCTCTGTCAGGACAGGTTCGGAAGTACCAGCAGGACCTTCAGCCTTCAGCCTGTGGCTTTAGGCCAGTGTTAGAAAGCTTTCTTTGTCCTGTCAGTCAGGGTATCTCCCTGCCCCCCTCCCCAGTCCAGTAGCAAGCTTGCGGAAGTCCCTTGGCTTTGGCTCCGGCGTGGCAGTGCCAAGGTCAGCTCTGTCTCTGCTGTGGCTGCTGGTGCTCTTCGGTCAGCCTCATCTGAATTGTGCAGGCATCTCAGGCCCAGAAGGGTGGGCACCACATTCTCTCTCTTCCTTGCTGGTACTTTCTTGCTTCACAAATTGTGCTGTTGACCTTGCTCAATTTTAAACCTGGTGGTGAAACTAGCTAATCCCCTGCTGAATAGACTAGCAGTTGCTGTTGGCATGTTCCTACCTAATCATGTAGCAGAGTCCAGGGCATTGGCAAACTGCTGTTAGCTGTTAGTGAATATAGTTGAGTGTGACTCCTAGGGACTCAAGGAACAACGGAGCCCAGCTCCGTTCTGTCCTGGGCCAGCCTCACAGTCTCTGACACTTTTGACCTGCTTGAGGGTCTTCCTCTCCTTCTCTGTCTCCTCACTTTTCCTTCTTCAAGCATGATGTCCTTCTCCAAGGAATAGCATTCCTAGCAACATGCCCAAAGTATGAAGACAGTGCCTTGTCACCCTTGCCTCCAAGGAGCATTCTGGCTGAACCTTCTAAAAGACATAGCTATTTTATTTTGGAAGCAGGATTGGCATCCACTTCCTAAATAACATCCTCTGGAAGCTCTATGAACTTTGATAAATGTCAGTAGTTGTAGAGGGGCTTCAGGCCTTTTGTTTGTAGGGTCGCTATGAGTTGTGCCTGACTTGAAGGCAGTCAACGACAACAACTTGGGATATTCAGTACTCTTCTCCAGTACCGCAGTTCAAAGGCATCAGTTTTTCTTTTGTCATCCTTATTCATTGTCCAGCGCTCAGTAGCATATCAACTGACTGAAAAGACCGTGGTCTGAATCAGGTGCATTTTAGTCCTCAAACTGACATCATTGCTCCTGAGTAATTTGGAGAGGTCCTTGACTGCAGACTTGCCCCGTGCAATGTCTCCTGATCTGACTGCCGGTACCAGGGGCTCCAAGTCAGATGAAGTCCTTAACAGTTTCCATCCTTTCTCCATCTATCATGATGTTGTCTTTTGGTCTGGTGGTGAGAATTTTTGATTTTTTTACAATGAGATGCAATCCAAACTGAGGCTGTATTCCTTGATCTTCTGCAAAAAATGCTTCAAGTCCTCCTTAATTTCAACAAGCAAGGTTGTGTCATCTGCATAAGGCAGTTTATTGATGAGTCTACCTCCAGTTCTGATGCCCCAATCTTCATAGAGTCCAGGTTTTTTTTCCCACAACATAAAAAAATGTTTCTTATTGTTACTAAGATAGGCTAGTGCATATAATAACATTGTGAACATAAAGATTGTTGCAGATTAGCCATGGAATGCTTTTTCTTTGCTATTCTTCTTTGTGTAAACTTCTAGGATGTCTTAAAAGAAAAGCTTGAAAGGATGTATTTATCTTGGCTGCATTTGTAAATTCACAGAGTTAAATACTGGAGACATTTTAAAGACAGAGTGTATTTTCTTAGTCTTAGAGAACCACAGACTGCGAAGAGAACAAATTGATTTGTCCTGGAGAGGATAAAACCAGTTAGCTCCTTGGAGGCAGATATTTTGAAGCTCCATCTCACATACTTTGGAGATTTTGCCAGGAGGGACCAGTTCTTCGAGAAGGACATCATGCTTGGAAGGGTAGAGGGTTAGTCCATAAAACAAAGACCTGTGGTTATAAACAAAGACATGGATGGCAGTGGAAAGCTTTCTTCCTGGGCAGAGACAACACTTCTGAGAAATGGGGTTTCACATGTGATGAAGATGAAGATGTGTTGTCAGTTGGAAAACAGCACAGAAATAATGGATCTCTAGAATTTATGTGGAGTAGCTTAGCTTTAATGGCATGTTCCAGAGGGAACTGCAGTGCTAACCAAACCTGGCACCTCTGGTGGTTAGAATCCATCAGGGGCTCCACTGAAGAAGCATGGGCAGTCTCCTTCCAAGTCAGAGTCCAGCTTCTCGGAACAATTTGTTCCATGTACAGACTGAATAGGCAGAGAGAAAGGCTACAACCTTCATGCACCCCTTTGTTCATTTGAAACCGTGTAGTGTTCCCTGCTCTATTCCCATAGCAGCTTCTTGAGCTAGATACAGGCTTCACATGAGTATAATTGAGTGCTCTAGGATTCCCATTCTTCTCAATGTTAGCTATAGTTTGTTATGATTCACACTGTCGTCTTTGCATAGTTAAGAAAGCCCACATTTACATTCTTCTGGTATTCTCTGCTTTCAGCCAGGATCTATCTGACTTCAGCAGTGATGCCACTGTGCCACAACCTCTTCTCAGTCCAGCTTGAACTTCTGGTAGTTCTCTACATACTGTTCTAACTGGTTTTTAATGATCTTCAGCAGTATTTTTCTTGCATGTAATCAACACTCTTGGCACCAGCAGTCAAGAAATCAAGACGAATTGCATTGGGAAAATCTGTCAGAGACCTCTCCAAAGTGCTGAGAAGCAATGATGTCAGTCTAGATACTAAGGTGCACTTGATCCAGGCCGTGGTCTTCATAGTTACTTGCTACACATCAGAGATCTGGACAGTGACTAAGGATGACAGAATAAATGCCTTAGAGTTGTGGTGCTGGAGAAGGGTCTTGAACATGCCATGGACTGCCAAGAAAACAAATAGGTCTGTCTTGGAGAGCACGAAACCAAGTAGCTCCTTGGAGGCCAGGATTTTGAAGTTCCACTTCACTCACTTTGGGCATGTTGCCAGGAGGGACGAATCCTTGGAGAAGGACATCATGCTTGGAAAGGTGGAGAGACATCACAGGAGAGGGAGACCCTGGATGAGATGGATTGATAAAATAACTGGGGCAATGGGGGTAGCTGTGTTGGAGTCAGTGAGACTAGTGAGACTCCCTTAGAACAGGGCAGGCTTTAGAGCTGCTGTACATAAGGTTGCTATGAGTCGCATTTGACTCGACAGCACATAACAACAATATTAATGATACTGTTTGATAATTTCTACATTGTTGGATTATCTTTCTTGGGAGTGGGAACAAATATGGATCTCTTCCAGTCTGTTGGCCAGGCGACTGTCCTCGAAGTTTGCTGGCACAGTCCCATAAACCCATCCAGAGCTGCATCTATCATTTGAAACATGTCAGTTGGTAATCATATGGATTCCAGGGGACTTATTTTTTGCCAGTGTCTTCATTGCAGTTTGAACGTCCTCCTTCCCTACCTCTGGCTCTTGAGCATACAGTGTCCCCTGAAGTTTTTCAGTATTGAACAGTTTCTTTGGCACAGTGTGTCACATACCCCTTGTCTTTTTTTGTTTGGTTTGCTGGTTCCGTTTTCCCCCTCTCCATGTCTTTTGGTGCTTCCTGGAGCATTCTAAATTGTGCCCACAGCATCTTTAAGTATTACAAGGCAAAACTTGAATTTGTTTTTCAATTCTTTCATCTTGAGAAATGCTGAGTGAGTTCTTCCCTTTTTATTCTCCAGTTCTAGGTCCTACACATTCTGTTATGGTAGTTGGCTTTGTCTTCCTGAGCTGCCCTTTGAGATCCTCAGCTCTCTGACTTCAACAGCTCTTCCTTTCGTTTTGGCTTCTTGATGCTCTTGTGCAATCTTAGTGCAGTCATGTGGCAAAGTCAAGGGCGATGGCCTGGCCCACTATGGCCCTGTGGGAACCTCGTTTTTCTTTGCAGAACTTGGATCTAGTTAACACTGAAAGAACCCCTAAAGCCCCCAGATCCAGGTTCATTAGTAGCTTTTGGGTATAGTGAGTTTGTCATTTCAGCTGCCTAGTAAGTGAGGTTCTCCATTGTCCTAACTCTTAGAAAAAGATGCCCCAGAAGCTGCTCCATAGCTCTGAGGACAGACTACCCTGAGAAGCTGCCCCGTAACTCTGAGGTAAAATGCTCAGAGAGGCTTTCCTGTGATTCTGAGGAAAATGATCTAATAGGCTGTCCTGTGGCTTTGAGGTGAAATTCTCTGAAAGCCTGTCCCAGGGCTCTGCATAAACTGTTTAATGTTTCTGTGAGGATATCTTTTGCTTGAAGTTCTTCAAGCTAATGGAGGACTCAAGTACTATGTGTTAAAAGTTATGCATGCTCGTTCTAATGTCTAACTATCATGTTGCTGTGAAAGAGGACATGCATCTGTGTCTCCTGGGCTGCCAGGGGCGGTACTGGTGGCCAAAAGACAGCATTGTGAAAGTGACCACTAGCAGCCTATGGTGGGAAGAAAATGGCAGTGTTTCTTTCAGGGCCCAGTGTAGGGGGGTGACAGGCACAAGGGACATACGCTGAGTGAACAGTTACAAGGGTAACTGTTATATAAAACCATTATTGTAGAATGAGTATAAGGGTCCAAGAGTGTAGGAGCGGTTGGAAGCAGAGGGATGAAGATGTGCAGGAGAGGGGGGATCAACCATGGGGTTGTACAATTTGATGGGGGTGGGCGGGGTGAGGGAAATGGAAAGAATTTCTTCTTGAAAATAGTGTATTCTAATTTTATAAATAAACTAGTAGAAAAAGAAAAAAAACCCACAGAAACAAGGGATATAATGAAATACTGTCTGTATCCCCTAACCTGGGCATCAGTCTAGATAGCACTCGTGTTCCCCCACCTCAGGGCAGGCCTGTTGTGGTGGCCTGGAGAGTGGGTGGCCATGCGGTGGGAGCCAGGACAGCTGCTCTGTGTAACGAGGAGCCAGAGGTGGCCGAGCCGCGGACAGTGGGTGCTGGGCACCCCATCCTGAGGCTCAGGAGTGGGTTTCACGTGGGGTCTTGTGTCTTACCTGAGCCTCTGAGAGGCTGGCCTGTAGCTCTGTCCTAATTAAAGGAAGTATTGTTCTTTTTTGATAACTCTGTTCTGTAGCTTTTCTTTCTCTCTTTTCTTCATAACCACATTATTTACACTCATTGCTATTCAGTTGCCATCATCACTGACCCTTCGCTGAGTGTCCAAGGCTGTAAGTTGCACAGGGAGAGATAACCCTTCTTTCTCCCAGAGCCGCTGTGGATTTGAACTGCTAGAGAGGCCTTTCTTTTTTCTTTTAGTTTATTTTAATGAAGAGAGAGGAATTTGTGTTAGCTGCATGCCTCCCTGTAGACCAAAGCCCAGGGCTCCCTTCATGTTCATGAGCCCTGAGAGCCACTAAGCACTCACTTAATGGCCGTGTTTCATCTTTCTAAGATTATCCTCAGAGACAGTGGACAGTGATGCATACAGTGCTGGGTATTTCTTTCAGGGAAAAGCATTTTTCAGAACGGTATTTTTAATTCACAGAGTATTTGTGAAAAAAATACTGTCAGGTTTTGGAGTCATGCGATGTTGTGACCAATCCCTTAACTTTCATGTTAGGCTTTTGTTAGGTTAGGTTAGGTAGTGGACTTAAAGAAAAAATCAGAGAGAACAAGAGAAAGCTTAATGCAGCTTTATTAAAGGGGGGTGGGGGTGGAAGGGGAGCTCCCGGGTGAGTTCCTCATCCTGGAGAGGCAGAATGGGAAGTCACACTGAGAACTTACTGGGAAGGATTTTTATCAACAGAGTCTTTAGGGAGGGACATTCCACTCTGATTTACGAGCCACCTGCTAGCTTAGCCAGGCAGGCAAGGTCATTTGCCTTCTTATCTGAAGCAGGCAAGGCTATCAACATTTGAGTTCTGAATTCTTCATTCTTCTCTTTGGCCCTCTTTGCCCAGACTAACAGCTTTACCTTTGAGGTGCACTCACAAGAAAGTCTTAGAAAATGCCTGTTCACCCTCGCCAGTCAGGACATCTAATGTCTGAGACAGCTGCTGGCGTGAGGGGTGTGAGGGGCCTGGTCTGTGGGCCCACATGTGTGGTCTCAGAGAGGGTCTGCAGGCCCACATGTGTGAGGCCTTGAGAAGGTCGGGGGCCCACTTGTTTGTGGTCTTGAGGAGGTTTGGGGTTCTGTGTGTGTGTGGTCTCAGGGAAGTCTGGGGGGGTCTGTGGGCCCACACATATGTGTGGTCTCGGGGAGGTCAGGGACCTGTGTGTGGTCTCTCAGGGGGTTGAGTGGCCATGTGTGTATGGTCTGGGAGAGGTTGGGGGCCTGCATATTTGTCATCTCGGAGAGGTCTGGGGGTCACGTGTATGGTCTCAGGGAGGTCGGGAGTGTCTGGGGGCCTATGTGTGTGGTCTTGGGGTGGTCTGGGGGTTCTGGGTTCCTGAGTGTATATGGTCTCAGGGAGGTCAGGGCCCACATGTGTGTGGTCTCTTAGGGTCTGGGGGCCTGCCTGTGTGTGGTCTTGGGGAGGTCTGGGGACCCACATGTATGTGGTCTTGGGGAGGTGTGGGGGTTCTGGGGACCCACGTGCGTGTGGTCTTGGGAAGGTCTAAGGGCCTGCGTGTGTGTGGTCTTGGGGAGGTGTGGGGGTTCTGGGAACCCGCATGCGTGTAATCTTGGGGAGGTCTAAGGGCCTGCATGTGTGTGGTCTTGGGGAGGTCTGGGGACCCACATGTGTGTGGTGTTGGGGAGGTGTGGGGGTTCTGGGGGCCCGCGTGTGTGGGGTCTTGGGAAGGTCTAAGGGCCTGCGTGTGTGTGGTCTTGGGAAGGTCTAAGGGCCTGCATGTGTGTGGTCTTGGGGAGGTCTGGGGACCCACATGTGTGTGGTGTTGGGGCTCTGGGAGCCCAGTTAGGTGCTGGAGCAGAGAGGTGGCTGGTGCTGGACTTTCTGTACTAATAATTTGTCCTCCTTTCTTTCCAGTCTACACCTTCGCCATCAGCTGACCTCCTGGGCCTTGGGGCCGCACCCCCCACTCCAGCAGGCCCCCCACCCCCCTCTGGTGGAGGCGGGCTCCTGGTGGACGTGTTCTCAGACTCGGCCTCTGCTGTTGCACCTCTTGCTCCCGGCTCTGAAGATAACTTTGCCAGGTAGTTGGGTCAGCTCTGTTGGGGAACGGCTGTCTTGTACCCCACACACTGCTCTGCCCCCACCACCTTTTCCCTGCATTGTGGCCATTGGTTTTCATTAGGTGAACAGTTTTTTCAAGGAAAAAAGCACAGGCAGCAAAGCCAGTGGGTAGCTGTCACATGTGTCTGTGATGATGTCAGTCATGGGTGCTGGTGGCTTTCCATTGCGTGTGTAACTGGGAAGCGGTTTTGTGGGCCTGCTCCCCTCTACCAGGCAAGCTGCTCTCAGCTCTGCGACATGCAGTCCTCTGTCTTCCTGAAAGGTAGCACTGTGGCCATTAGGCCCAAACGTTGGCCATTGTGCCACCTCTACTCTTCTTCCCCGACTCCCTTGTGGGAGCAGAAGTGTGGTTGTCACGGCGTGTCTCTTGTGGGTTCTTTGCTCTCATTGGCCCTCACCCTTCTGCTTGCTGATCCTTTGTTCCACTTAGTTTTTAAAAAGCTCTAGTGGAATTGTTGTGGTTCCCTGTTTCTTTGTAATCACATTATGCAGGCAGACTTCCTCCTGTTACTTCAGAGTAAATTCAAGAGGCCCGGAGCCCTGGTGCTGGTTCTGACTGGCCACGCCTTTAGCATCTCGCCTGGGGGGTTGAGAACTGCAGAGTCTAGGCAGGTCCTGAGCCTGGAGCATCACAGAAGGTTGTGGGGCCCTCTCCCCCAGGAAGGTGGCACCCTTAGATGTGTAGTCCCAAGGAGGCCTCCAACGCGTTGGTCCGGCTGGGCTTGCGACATTTCCAGGTCTCCCAGGTCATGCAGGTGGCCCTCAGTGTCTGTCGGAGACATGCCTGAGTGTGCAAGACCCTTCATGGGGAGGAGGGTTGGGGGCTGCTGCGGCCTCTGCAGCAGTGAGTGCATTCCCTTCCAGAGGTGCTGTCAGCGTCTGTCCCTCCTTCATGAGACCATGCTTTCGGCTTGCTTCACGCTGGGTTGCATCTCTGGTGCTAGTTCTGAGCTGCGAGGCTGCTGCCATGGTGCGGGTGGAGGGCAGAGTTGGCGAGTGTCAGTGGAGAGGGTGGGACGATATGGGGATGCCGGGCAGTGGCTGGGAAGCGTAGATGGAGCTCATGGGTCTGGAAGCAGCTGACCTGGACACATGATGGCCCTGAGAGGATGGAGAACCAGTGTCCTCCCCTTGTCTATAATCGGCACCCCCGGCTTGAGTCTGGACAGTGTGCTGCTGCTGTAGGGGAGGAGCACAGCGGTCGCCCTGGGCAGCCTTTCCTTCTTAGGCTGTGACTCTCCCAGTGTTAGCATGTGTTCTGGAACATTCTGGACTACTGTGTTCTGTGTAGTAGAGCCTTTTGCTTTGAGTGGATGATAAGCTTAGTGTGGTCGGAGGACTCAGCGAGGAGGCTATGACCTGGCAGGGCCTGCAGTCCCGAGGCTGCCCCTTCTGCGTGCACAGCTCCCCATGATTGGAGGGAGTGCTGAGCCGAGGTGAGCGTGAGCAGAGCTGTCCTGTCTGTACTAACTGTTCCTCTTGCGTCTCTGTTGCTGCTGCCTCTGTCTTCTCTCTGTGCCGCTTGATTAGCCCTGGCCTGGCCTCCACTGAGGTAGTTTCTGAGGAGTCTGCTGAGACTGTGTGCGATGCCGATGAACTTACACACAAGTAAGCACCACGCGCGTCTCTCAGGGAGGGCACGCGCGCGCAGCGCAGAGTGCAGAGCCCAGAGCCCGGCAGTGCCCAGAGCCAGGCAGCGTGTAGAGCCGGGCAGAGCCCAGAGGCCGGCAGCACCCAGAGCTAGGCAGGGCGGCACGCAGAGCCGGCAGTGCAGAGCCTGGAGCACAGAGCCGAGCCCGGCAGTGCAGGGCCTGGGAGGGCAGAACTCAGCAGCGCAGAGTGCAGAGCTGAGCAATGGCAGAGCTGGCAGCATGGAGCTAGCAGCACAGAGTGCAGAACCCAGAGCCCCAGAGTGCAGAGCGCAGAGCCCGCAGTGCAGAGCCTAGAGTACAGAGCCTGGCAGCACAGAGCCCAGCACCATGGAGCCGGGAGCACAGAGCCAGCAACAGAGGACCCATCAGCGCCCTGGTTACAGGGTTTTGGGTGGGGCAGCCGCTCAGGCCACGCTCCCAGTGCTCCCTTGTCCCATGGGCCACACACTACTGTGGCTTTCCCACATCCCAGCCCCAAGCCTGCCCTGTGAAGGGCCAGGAGGACCAGGTCCACAGCAGCCCAGAACAGAGGGTACAGAGTTCCATCAGAGCGTGTGTGCCTACACAACTGCCCCATCAGCTTGGGCTTGATGCTCAGCCCCGACGTACCCACCTCTGTACCTCACGTGCACCTCCAGTGCTGGCACAGCACCACATTGGCAGGCCTCCATCCTTGAGGTTTCGCTGGTCTCAGCTAGCCCTCTCTGCCTGGTCCCTGGGTTTCCAGAGGGTGACTTTGTGTGACATACTCCTGCCCTGTTCCCTAGGTTCGTCTGTAAAAATAATGGAGTGCTCTTTGAGAACCAGCTGCTTCAAATTGGGCTAAAATCAGAATTCCGGCAAAACCTGGGTATGTGTTTTACTTCGATTATGTGGCTGCTCCGCAACCCCCACCTCCACTCCCACCTGGGCAAGAAAGGACACAGAGAGCGAAGGACTGTGGGTGGGGTACATGGAGGGATGTGAGGAGCGTGCCGGTGGGTGGGAGGACCCCAGGTACTCAGCAGGCTTGGAGGTCTCCGCTGCTGCTGCCTGCTGAGGTCGGTGAGGATATATGTCCTCAGGTGTCTAAACCGTGCACACAGACACAGGTGACCATTGGCGTCTACACCGTACACACACACACACACACACACACACACACACACACACACACACACACATATACACTGGCGTCTACACTGTGCGTACACAGAGGTATACATTGGCGTCTACACCGTGCACACACACACAGGTGTACATTGGCATCTACAGTGGAAACCCTCTGCTGTTGAGTCGGTTCAGACTCTGGTGACTCTGCATTGGGCCTCTCAGGCTGGCACTCGGCCGGTGGTTTTGGGCCCGAGCAGGGAGGGCATCTGACCCACCAACCTGTGGTCAGTACTGCAGCTCCTAATGTGCTGTGTTGCTTCCAACTTGGACATGCTATTTTCCAAGCTAGGCAAGGTAGATGTTAACCTAACAAGTTGTGGATCACAACCATTTATTCAGTGACATTCCTCTGGGAGTGGGGCACTTGTGGGTTTTGCTGTTGCTGTGTGTGTGAGGTGAGGATGTGCATGTGAAATCAGTACTTTCCACTTGTTTCTCCCTAGGTCGGATGTTTATATTTTATGGGAACAAGACCTCCACGCAGTTCTTAAACTTTACTCCAACACTGATCTGCTCTGACAGGCTGCAGTCCAATATCCTTGATTCTGTTTCTGCAGGCACAGACCTTGGAATCCAGAGGACAAGGGGGCTTTTGAGGCTTCTCAGGGCTATGGTCATGGCACGCCCCTAACTGTGTCCTGGGCCAGGCCTCAAGTCTGGAGGAGTGGCAGTGCAGGGAGGGATGTCTGTGTCCACGCCCAGGGCCAGTCCCTCTGTTGTAGGCTGATTGACATCACTTTCTCCAGCTTACTTCATCTCCCGGAGGGTTGCTTCTTGTCACCCTTCTGCTCCTTGATTCCCGAAGCTGCTGTGTCCTCCAGTGCCCAGCCTCGGGGGAGAACTGGGAGGCCCAGGGCAGGCTGTACCACGTCTGGAGTTCGCATGTGCTACTGGGGCTCACCCCCCCCCCATTAGTCCTTGAAGTCATAGTAAAACCTTGCTAGATGTTCTCCAGCTGGAAGGAGGAGATGCTGACACCGGTCTGCTCCCCTAGGGAGCTCTCCCTTGCAGGCCTATGGCTGCTTTTGTTTTTATGTGCCATTGAGTTGGAACGAACTTGAAGTTGACCCACCCCTCTAGCAGGTTTTCAGAGCTGTAAGTCACAGAGGAGGAGGTAGCCCAATTTTTTTCTGTGAAGCAGCAGGTGGATTTGAACTGCTTGCCTTTGGGTTGGCAGTGTTCCTCATTACCCACAGTGGAGCCACGCCAAGTCACAGCACCTGGTCAAGGCAGGACTGTGCTCCACAGGGCTGTTAGAGGCTGGTCTTTTGGAACCAGAAAAATCACCAGTTCTTTTTTCTGTCTCAGTGAACTTTGTGGGCAGCCAAGCACTTAGCCATCGGCAGCACCCAGAGACTTCAGTCCAGGAGGAAAGTTAGGGTGTGAGAGACCCTGGCTGATGAGCAAGGCCGCTCCCTCTCCTTCAGCTTTCGTTGCGTCTGTTCGTGTCCCACTTTCTGAGTGGCCAGTTCTACTTCCTGTTCCTGACAGGGATGCTGTAGGCCAGGGGACACGCAAGCTGTGTTTCAGATAATTGCTTTGAATGCACACGTGGAGTTTGGACCCACTGAAAGTCTTGTCCTAAATCAGGAGCTCAGTCCTTAGGGTGGGTGCCTCTGTCAGCCTGGAGGTGGCAGAAGGACACAGGGACAGAGTGGTGGCGGACAAGCCTGTTGGCGTCGGCATGGACAGAGAGTTGAGAGAGCACCCGAATCCCACTCTGTGGGTCCTTGTGCCTCTTCTCTCGCCGATGTTTCCGCTGGCTTCTCTCAGAGCAGTGTGCTTTGGCTCCGCTGGAGTTGCCGGGACTACATGGGGATCTGCTAGGAGAGGAGTGAGCTGCCTGGAGTTGGCTCTGGCTCATGGTCCATGAGGTCGCCTCAGCATTACTCTTGAGGTGCCAGCTGTCCTCTTCTCTGGGACCTGAATCCTTAACATGCACCTACATCTGAACCTGCAGACCAAGCCAGTAGACCCAACTGTGGACGGAGGTGCACAGGTGCAGCAGGTGGTCAACATTGAGTGCCTCTCCGACTTCTCCGAGGCGCCTGTCCTCAACATTCAGTTCAGGTGAGGAGATGTGGAACTCGCCAGCCCCTCGTGTCCTGGAGGCTGCTCAGCGTAGGGTGGTCAGCAGTGCATGGGGGCCCTCAGCTTGTCTGCCAGGTCCCTGCCACTGCAGCTGGGGTTGGAGTGTGGCTTTGTTCTGTGTGACCCTGAGCCTTGGTCATAGAGACATTCTGTCCACTCAAAACCTTCCAGAGAGAGTGCCCTTGGTTGCTGAGGTGGCCTCAGCATGGTGCCAGGTGGCACGACTGTCTTCCAGGGCTTTGCCCAGTTGGTGGGGCAGGGTGTTGGGGTCCCGCGCTGGCTTGGCATGCTCTCCTGCAGCGTGTGGCAGTCCTGGACGGTTGAATCATGCAGACACTGGCCTGTCCGCCACGCATTTCCTTGCTCATGGCCACATCCAGAGATGGAGCAAGTGTCCAACTAACTGGCACTCTGCAGGGTGTTTAAGGCACTGTTTTTGGAAAAGCCCTGTCACTGTCAGTCCACCAGCAACTTAACAGCGACAACCTGATGGGAGTAAGCACGATGGAGACACCACTCTGAGAGGATCAGAGTGTCAATCCAGCTCAACTTTATTAGGATAAGACTGCACTTATATACACAGGAAGACAGGATAGGGCGGGCTTACAGACGTGGGACATGTGGATTGGTCGGGGGAACCTCAGCCTCGTGTGGATCACTCCTGGCTCAACAGATGCAGCAGCCGTCTTCCCAGGTGGCAAGCTTTCTCAAGCCAGTACAGCCAAACACAGGGGAGCTTTCTCTACCCTTTCTCTACTCTATTTAAAGGCCACTGGGAGGCTTGCACCTGTCTGGAGCTCAAGTGACCTGTCCTGGCCAGAGGCCTTCTCTTCCTCCCCAAGATTCCGCAACATCTCCTCTCATTTTCTTTTAAATGGCCCCAAAGAGAGGAGAGTCTCTGGCCTAGGGCTCCAGGTGTTTCTTAGGAGGAGGATGATCCAATGACTGTGAGAGTAGAAAGATTATTCAGTGCAGCTGCTCGAGCATTCTGTCTTGTGAAGAGATCTGCGGCCGCTCTTCTGACAGTAACTGGGAAGATAATAGAAAGGCTAGAATTGCCATACCTTAATTTCTGGATTGAATTGGGAAATCAATATAGGATCGCAAGGGAAAGCAATGTGCATTTAGGAAATGGGGGTGAAGTGATAAAAGTTACAAAACCTGATTGGTCCCTCCCGCTGCAGCACTATCGATGGTCAAAGTTGTGATAAGCAGTGTTATAAACACAGGACCACTGGGTGTACCACTCCCAGGTTTAAGACCTAGAGCTTGTTGGTTGAGTGCCTTCAGCATGCCCCAGGTTATAGGTGTCTGTGGGTTCGGCTTCCTTTTCCACTGACTCCTCTTCTGTTCGTGGATGCTCAATCGTCACATCTTCTTGATAGGTGGGTTGGAATCGGACATGACTAGCAGGAATCCACACAGGATGTGGCTTGTTCTGTGGGAAAATACAAGCAAAACCTTTCCCAGTGGTTAATAAAGGATCGGGCCCTTTCCATACTTGATCTAATGATCCTTCCATGCAACCCATATTGGTGGCTCACTGGGAGGTGTATCTGGTTGCCAGTGAACACGGGGGGAGTTTTGAAAAATTCTCATAGATGTTGAGTACATTTAATGTGAAGAGCGTTTTATGCAATTGTATCATAGGAGGATAGGCTTCCCCCTCTTCTTTTTTTTAATTGCAGTTTCAATATTTTATCTGCTCTCTCAACTATTGCTTGACCCTGTGGATTATATGGGATCCCTGTTGTATGCCAAATGTCCCAAAGTTGACAGAAACTGGCAAAAGAGCTAGAAGAGTGTAATGATATAATGACTATCGGTAAAAAGATTTCTTGCTTCCAGAACATTAGTTAATACCAAATATATAGCATACAGTTGTCTCAACTGTGGCGACACATTTGGCAAACGAACGAAATAGGTCTTTTGAGGAATAATAGAATCTGAGGGATATATTACCATACCAGCTCCTGTTTGACCTCTGTTTGTAAAAACATTAGGAGCTGTGGCCATAGGCTCCCTTAAGAAGAGCTGCAGGCGTAACCACTTAAGTAAGGGAATAGCCGACATGAGAGGTCCACTCAGATAGTGACAATCTGTTTGACCAGAAAACCTTCCAAAGCAAGTCCAAAACCTGCATGATGCTGAAGCAACCATTCAATATCTGTGTTGTTAAACGGCAAAATAATCATATGTGGCTCTAATCCAAACACTTGAAGAGACCTTGTACGGCCTTGTCTGATCACATTAGACAATGTATACAATTCTTTCAAGGCTCAAGGTGTTCCTGCCAACGCTCAGTGCAGCCACTCCAGTACTCCGTGTGGCTGGTACAATGCTCCCACCATTGTAGGTGTTGAGTTGAAAATTAGAAGATGCAGTTTTTTTTCCTGGATCATATCTAACTAACTCAGCTCGCTATAAATGTGTATTGATTTCTTGTATAACTCATTGAGCCTCTGGAGTCACAACCCTTGGGGAAGTAGGGTTTGGATCTCCTTTTAATAAACTGAATAAAGGTTGCAATAGGCTGGTGGAAAGATGAAGCCAATTTCTGACCCAATTAACATTGCCTAAATAACTCTGTAAGGTATTCAGTGTTCAATTCTTTGGAAGGTCCAGTGACAGCCTATCTGGCCTAATTTTGGTTAGACGGATATGTGACCCTAGGAACTTTATTGGTTGAATCTTCTGCACCTTCTCAGGTGTTACCTGTAGGCCTGCTTTGTTCAAGCATCGTATGAGCCTCTCTTCAATATGACTTATGGGATCATTACGAGGATGCCATGCAAGTATATCATCCATATGATATCTATACCCCTTCTTTCCTCAGGGGCTCCAGGGCACAGGCTACTGCTTCCTGGCATATCAGGGTGCTGTTGGTCATGCCCTGAGGTAATACAATCCATTCAAATCTTTTAGCAGGTTTACAGTTATTCAAAACAGGCAATGAAAAGGCAAAGGAATATGGAGAAAAAACAATCCTTAATGTCCACTACCAAAATGGGAACTTGTGTAGGGATGGCTGAGGCCAATGGCAGTCCTCTTTGAGGGGTTCCCCAAACCTTCATACACTAATTAACAGCTCTCCAATCATGTATAAACCTCCACTTTCCTGACCTTTTCTTTATGGGGAATACTGGGGTGTTCCATGGATTGCGGGACAGTCTTTATGTGCCCCGCGTCTAATTGTTGTTGAACTAACCTCTCCAAAGCTGATATTTTCTCCTGTGTCATCGGCCACTGTTTGACCCACATAGGATTGTTAATAATCCATTCTAGGACAGGAGCTTCATATGCAACAGTCGCCTTTGGAATTGGGGGTAACTTGTCAATTGATACGGATGACCTTGTCCTCTTCTCTCTGATGGTGACGTAGGGCTGTCCAAATGGCAGCCCCATGGCAGCCAAGAGGTCTTGGCCAAGGACATTCACTGCAAGACCAGATGACACCAATCTCTGACACCCACAGTGTTGGAGTTAGGGGCTGCCCCTCATCTCGTTTAAAAGGGACATTCTGCCTATGGCACCTCGACTTGCAATCCCTTCTCCAATGATACCCTCTCTGGCACCTAGGGCATGGAGAGGGAGGCAGGCCCGGTGGCCTCATACTCGCTTTACTGTAACATTCTTTCCTCTCATGCCCTGACCTTCCACATCAAAAATACACGCCGCCTCGTGTTTCAGATGTTGAAAAGGGCAGGGAACTCCAGGTCTATACCTTTCAGAGCTGAGGTAACATAAAAATTCTTGTTTTGTTCACTAGGCAACCAACCACTCATTTTCATGAGTGAGAAAAAACTCAGTGGGAATAACTCATTCTGCAAAGTGGGTGAACGGGGGCACATGGTGATGGAACCCCTGAGGGGCTGGCTCTCAGAGGCCTAATGTGCGTCCCTGACCTGCCCACAGGCCTTCACTTAATTTGATGGCCATGTGAGTGTCATGCTCGATGTGTATGCCCTGTCATTGGAGGATTAGGGCTAGCTTGGGCCCTTCAAGTGCCTTTGTCCTTAGTGACACTTACCTGAAGCAACATGCAGAGCAGACACTCATGAGCATGCCTCCCTCAGATACCAGGTCAGCCTGACTACTAGGATGCAGGCAGTTGGCAGTATGTCGGCAGGACAGATCCCTGAGAGTGAGTCCCTCTGTCTGGTCTGTGACACTCTACAAGATCAGAGTTTGGCTGTCCAGTTGAGTTTGGCATATTGTAACCTTTGATTTTAGGTACGGGGGAACCTTTCAGAATGTATCAGTAAAGCTGCCTATCACACTCAACAAGTTTTTCCAGCCCACAGAGATGGTGTCTCAGGATTTCTTCCAACGCTGGAAACAGCTGAGCAAGTAAGGCCTGGCACACCTGGTGGGTGAGCCAGGGATAAAATGAAGATGCTCCCTGTGATTGGAGCATGGGAGTGTGATGGCTGTGTGTTCTCACTTCCTGTGACTGGAGGTAGGAGTGTGATGAGTGTGAGCCCACACTTCCCTGTGATTGGAGTGTGGTGTGTGATAGGTGTGTGTATTGGAGTGTGGAGTGTGATGGGGGTGTGTGTTGGAGAGTGGGAGTGTGATGGGTGTGTACTCACACTTCTGTGATTGGGGGGTAGGAGTATGATGGGTGTATGCTCACACCCAGGTATTTGAGGGCACGGTCTGGACTCAGATGCTCACAATCCCTTCCTTGTACCCAGTCCACAGCAGGAAGTGCAGAATATCTTCAAAGCCAAGCACCCAATGGATACAGAAATCACCAAGGCCAAGGTGAGCGCTGGCTCCACTCTCTCCTGGAAGAGGGTGCTTTCCCCCTCAAGTGCTGTGGAGACACTCCACGCCCCGGCTGATGACCCTGTACGGGGTCCCAGTCTCCATGTTTCTTCTGCAGATCATCGGCTTTGGTTCTGCACTCCTTGAGGAAGTCGACCCTAACCCTGCGAATTACGTAGGCGCCGGCATCATCCACACCAAGACCACCCAGATCGGGTGTTTGCTGCGCCTAGAGCCCAACATGCAAGCCCAGGTCAGGCCTGCAGGGACCATACTGTCCACTAGGGGCTGTTCCCTGGAGGAGATGCAGGGAGACTGACACCTTGTATTGGGTGTGATGAGCTTCCCCCACTGTGTAGCCCCCACGCACCATCATGGGCCATGAGTGTCTGTGCTCCTGACTGGGACCACCACGCACACTCAGAATGTCCCATGTCCCCTCCTGAGAACACTCCACACAGTGTCCCGTGTCCCCTACTGAGACCACACCCCACACACACTGTTCCATGTCCCCTCCTGAAACTACCTCCCACACAGTGTTTCATGTCCCCTCCTGAAACCACCCACACACGGTGTCTCATTTCTCCTACTGAGGATCCCCCAAGTGCTGTTTCCTGGCTCCTCTTGCAGACATTCAACATCTGGGTACCACCTTAGTCCTTCCTTTAGCACCTGCCTACAGCCATGTGGGTCTGTTGTCTGACAGCAGGTGCCCACTGTGCCCAGCCCTGCTCCGTGGATGGCTTTGCTTCAGTGCTGATAGAGCCCTGTGCGTGGGGTGCCAGCGGGGTCCCTCCTGACCACTATTCCCTCTCTTCCAGATGTACCGACTCACCATGAGGACCAGCAAGGATTCCGTGTCCCAGCGGCTGTGTGAGCTGCTATCGGAACAGTTCTAGTTTCAGCCTGTCCCTGCGTCCCCATCTGACTATTGTCTTCATCACCACCCTATACACAGTGACCCTGCACATGGTGACCCTGCACACAGTTCTTGGTCTGGGTGCCACAGCCCCAGTACCGCCTGCCCGCATTCAGACTGTCCCAGGCTATGGACAAGAGGACAGGGGTGCTTCTGGGATGAGAATGCTGGTCATTTCCTGCGAGAGCAGGACAGCGAGGCTCAGTCTGAACATTAAAGGGAACCAGATGGGTGTCTGGACCTGGAGTTTCCTCAGTTCTACAGAGCTGCCCTTTCTGTGGGTGACTGCCAATGCCTGGGCACTGAGGAGTGGGCCCAGTCATCAGAAGAGTGGCTGCATCCACGGCCTGGATGTTCTGGCCACATGTGGAGGGCGGTGTGGCTGCACAAGGACCCAGGGTGGGGCAGCTTCTCAAACCTCTAAATGGATTTTAACGACCATTGGCCACAACGTATATCCTGCTAGATTAACTTCTGTTTCCTCTTCCCAATACCAGTGTTTGAAAGGGGTGTGTCATGTGTTTTTGTCTGTTGATTCAAGTCTGTGGTGTCTGGTGCAGTGGGCCACCAGGTTCTAGTCACACCCACAGCCATTGTCCTTCCGGCCAGCCTGCTGCGTGCACATGGACGTGTGAGGGGTGCACTCGCTGTGTGGGGCTCTTGCTAGAGGGGCTTCTTTGTCTGTGGAGTGTCATCAGAAGGGCTGTGGGAGACCCAGACACTTGGTGACGGAAGCTGTCTGCCCTGGCACTCGTAAGGGCTCATGAGCTGCTCAGCCACGTCAGTGCGATGCTGTGTGGCTCTGCCATGACGTCAGACTTGAGCTCAGTGTGCTTCCTCCAGCAAGGACACAGGCCTGGACCTGGGCCTGACGTGGACCTGGGTGTGGTCTTTGAGGAAGTGCAGGGTCCCTGGCTGCTAGTGACTGCAGCAGGAAGGTCACAGGACCCACATTGTCTCAAGGCAACATGGCTTCACTAGTTGAATGCTGCAATATGCACTGGGAACAAGCCCTTCACCCTCCCTGTGGGGGTCCAAGGTGTCAGGCAGCCCTGCTCCTGGAATCTTCCAGGGGCACCCGGGCCCCAGCCAGGAGCAGGTGAGCTAGGAGCTCAGAGGCCTGGACCCTGCTTGAGAGGAAGACAACTGCAGAGGGGCGGAGGGCAGGCAGTCATCTGGAGCCAGCCTGGGTGCTGTGGGTCAGTGGCACACAGGGACAAGCTGCTCATGGGAAAGCTCTGCTGAGATGTGACTTTATTTGTCAGCTGTTGATGAGTGCTTTGTCATTTCTTACTCCACACTGACAACCATTAGAACCTGGGCGGGGATGCCACAATCCTGAGAGGGCTGTTGGTGGGTGCAAGGGTGGGGGCTGTAACTGCCCTGCTGGGTGCTCCCTGGTCTGGGAGGACTGGGTGCACTGGCCCATTTCCAAGTGCCGTGTGCCATCCTGCTGCCCTCTCAGCCTCCACTGTCTTCCCCACCACCAACTCTGCAGTCATCTTGGTTCGCTGCCTGCTCAGTTGAAGGTCAAGAGTGGGCAGATGTGGGCACCTCAGGTTGCCCTCCATGGAGGCCGGTCAACTGGTGGCTGGGGTCGTCCCCCCAGGCTTCCTGAGTGATCAGTACAGAGCTGAGCTAGAGCAGGCCCAAGAGCAGTGGTGGGAAGAGGCTAGGCTCCTTGAAGTAAGCGTCAGTCCCAGGTGTGTGGACAGAGGCCCCACTAGTCTCTGCAGGCCTGCTGACCACATGCACAGCTGCTGAAGACTAGCAGTGGGAGCACCAACTTGCCACCAGGGGCAGTGGGGTCCGGGCAGGGCAGCACTAGTTGCTTCTTGTAGGTCCTCAAAGGGTAGCAGCAGCCACAGCTGGAAACCACTTGGCTTGTGCTGATGTCGAAGCTGCAGAAGAACCACGGGGAGGGGATATCAAGGCAGCTGGCACCCACTTGTTAGAGATAAGCGGCCCGAGTGGCCTTCAGTCCCTTCTGAAGACAAGCCCTCCCTGGGGCTCTGTGTCCCTAATTTCCATAGGGTATTTGCTGAGTTCTGCCCAGACATGTGGCCTGGCTGGGATTAGGGCCTAGTCTGCCCACTGAGAGCCGTCACTGAGACCCCTTTTGAGTACTAGCCTTCCAGCTGACATAGCCAGGGCGGTGGCCCAGGGCCCCTGTTCAGCCTGCATCACACATCCAGGCTGCCCTCAAAGTGGAGCATTGCACTTCATGGCTGCGTCAGAGAGGAGTGTCTGTGATGGGGAGGAGTGCTCACCTGTCCAGGGACTGCTTGGGTAGGCTCACCTGGCTGGGGGTCTCTGCCAGGGCCCACTACTCCCCTGGGTGGAGGATCCTCACTTGGCTGTGGGTGCTCACCTGACTGGGGACACCACCAGGCCTAGGGACTCCCTGGCTGGCCCCACATCCAGTCTAGGCACTGACCTGGCTGAGGAGATACAGACGCCTTCACAGCGGGTCACTGTCACGTTAGCTGTACAACCCTGATATGTGATCTCCTCCTCCCACTCCTTCACACTGCAGACGCCTGGTGTCAAGAGACAGATGGTCACACACTTGCACAGGACAGGATAGTGCCCTGAGGCCCAGCATCTGACCACTCTGAGGACTATGACCCTGGCTCAGTGGCCAGGAGTGACACTGGGACATGTAGACAGGGAGACAGTAGATGCAAAGGTGGGGAGAAGCACAGCTGTGGGCAGGACAGGCCGTACCCACTGAGCTGGGGCTCTGGCTTCTGTCCCAGCTGAACCTCTAGTGTGGTCTTGGTGGCATCTATTGAAGAGAGTTGGGCTAGCAGAGCCCAAGGCTCCCAGCTCTGCTTCCAGGGATACCCAGTGGGTGTCAAGGCTGGTTGCTGGGGAGGGTTGTTATAAGTCTTCCTTTAGAGTGGCCAAAACACAACTGTGGGTGTAGGAGGGTGAGACGGGGTCAGTAATCCAGCAATGAGCACAGGGTGGCTTGTCACCATTGTGCCTGAAACTCAAGTGAGTCTCCAGGAGAAAAGAGGGACATGATAGGGAAGATGGAGAATGAGACCCAGGATGGCACAGCACGGCAACCAAGCAAAGGCCAGAGGGAAGGGCTGTGAAGAAGGTCACATATCTGCTGCTTGCCATCTGTTCCTTCGAGATGGGCTGAGGGAAACCTAGGCTTGGATACAGGAGTGGCACATGCAAATTCACATGTGTGTAGAGGGCAAAGCAGAGATTCAGACTGGACTGTGCAGCTGGTGTGAACACAGCCCTGTTATCCTGAATGAGGCCTGGAAGAGGGCAGCGAGGAACTGTGACAGGAGTCCTCTGTGAGTGTAGACCGGGCTCACAGCAGACAGGTGTTGAGGTTGCTGCAGCAGTTGGGAAGGTCATCCGTACAAAGGGACCAGAATGGGATATGAGGGAGGTTGAGAGGAACAAGATAAGGTGAGAGTGGAACACCCAGCCATGAAATGGGGTGTTGTCCAGGTGGAAGGTTGTGGGGAAGAAACCATTCAGAGGGCCAGGCTGAAAACACTACTTACCACTGGGATTGGGGAGAGACGTTCCAGCAGAGGATGAAGGTCCCGGAGTAGAAGACTCTGGGACCAGGACTGAAGAACTTGAATGGGCAGTGATAGAGCTGGTCATGAGCACTGTGGTCAGGAGCCCACTAGGGCTGGGCTGGCTGGTTAATATTGTGGCTGGAGAACTTGCAGAGGTGGTCACTCCAAGGGAAGACGAAACAAACCCAGGTGTGGGAGTATGTGTAGTGAGAGGGGTAGACAGAGATGTGGATTGGGTGGAGAAGAGGGATGAAGGCATGGGAAAAGGGGTGGTCCAGGAGGTAGAGGGAATAACACTGCTGGGGACAGGAAAAGGGGAAAATGTAGAGGCAACAAAGGGGGAAGTTGAGGAGAGACTCTGGGACAAAGAAGGGGAGGTTGATGACCTAGGAGAAGTGGTAGCATGTGACGAAGAAGTAAAAGATGTAGCATTGGACACGTCAGCTGGAGAAAAGGGAGTGTGGGACCCGGAACTAGAATATTCTGTTTGGGTGGTGGCATGGATTTTAGTGGTGGAAGAGTGAGGTGAAATGGAGGCTACAGACGTAGAGGAAGATGAGATAGGAAAGGTGTAGGCTGAAGTACTCTGGCCAAATGTAGGAGGAAGGGATACTGAGCTCAGAGAGGAAGTAGGTGAGGAAGAGAGAGGCATGCTGGACTGTGAGTTTGATGTAGTTAAAACAATTGGAGAAACAGTTGGTAAAGATGTAAAAGGTGGTGATGGCAAAATCAAAGTAGAACTAGGTGGGAAAAGGGTGGATAATGGAGAAACATAAGAGCTACTTGTCTTGGCGGTGCTCATGGTA